GGCTTATTAAATCGATTTTAGAGTATACTAATATGTAAAAAATACAATATAATTGTTTTTTCTCCCTGTCGAATTGTGCTTTTTCGGCCCCCTCGCTGGCGCCACCCCTGGACAAAACATGTTATGCTTCCGCATAACAAGTTTGGATTGGTCACATGTTGAGTTGGAGTGACACAATGTAAGGTTCATTCGTGGGTATCTAGCTACATAACACGTTTCGATTAGTCACATGTTGAGTTGGAGTGACACAATGTAAGGTTCATTCGTGGGTATCTAACTATTAATAGGATATCTATACTTATTTATTGCTTTTCAGCTCAATACACTCAATTTGTCATCACCAATGTCATCAACACTACACAGTTTCTTTTTTATCCATACAAACTTAAAAATGACCTTTGGTCGCTTTAGTCGGCATTAGGATAACTGAGGTCTAATACACAGCATAATGTGATGGTAAAATACTTGTTATATTATTATTAAAAGTATGTCATAATTATTATTATTACAGCGTCAACACATTTTAATTCTCCTACGTTGATGTTAAACACCTATCGTAAGTATTAAAGAATGTTGATATTTATTAAATACAGTACAAATAGGCAATAAAACATGTAAAAACTCAAAAATCAAATCCATAAATAAATTTCAGCGCGGCATTTTCAATTCGTAAGCTAAGACTGATTAGCTAACTGAATAAATGTTATATTTCTGAACAGGTTGCAAGAGCCTTGAGCCAATTAGATCCGTACGCATTGAAAACGTCACAGCTGACAGTTTCATTCTAAAATGGGAGTCGAACACCATCAGTGACTGCGTTGGGACTATATTATTTGTTGTTGAGTGTATCACTCCGCTGCCAAGTATTTGCAGTAAACCAATCGAAATTGAAGGCAGTAACTTTTCACAGAAACAGAGCCTGTCTTTTGAAAATTTGAACCCTGGGACTGTGTACGGTTTCGTAATCTATGTAAGGAATCATGATGCTGAAAGTGGAGGCTCGTATATCTTTAGCAGAACAAAAGATAATAATAATAACTACACCGTATATATGCCACAGTCATACAGGTCCACAAGTAAGGAACGGTTTTCCAAGATCGTTTTGTAGAAAATTATTTGCAATGCTATTCTTAAATTTTATTAATAAAGACAAACATTGTCTCATAGAAGTCAAAGAGCTTATAATTGGATTTGGTATAGCACAGAATTCAATTCAGTTTTAACATTAAATATATTCTTTACTCAAGTTAGCAAGGGCTATAACTGCGTCAACGCAACACATTAATTATAATCAAAATAAAACAGTAAATACAAAAATAGAAAAATAAATAAGAGAAAGAGAATGTGTATAGGGTAGAGAGAAATTCGTGTAAGTCACAAAGACTACCGTATATAATTGAATTCAATTTCAATTTCACATTTTTGTTCTTTACCTAATCAATAAAGGGCTAATAGCTGCTTCATCATAACACAGTAATCATAATGCAGATATAAAGTGAATACAAAAGTACAATGACAAAACGAAACCGGATTTTTATGAGGGTTGGTAGAAAGTAGATTATTACTAAAAGAGTTAAGAGAAAGTGAATATGTATAAGGTACAGAAGAAGTTGTTACGTGGAAATGGTAATTGTCGGTTTTGAAATACAGAGATGAACAGTTTTTTTGTTTTCAGTTTTGGTAGGAAGTGGGTGATCATGGGATTTGACAACTTAACACCTATGTTTCGTTTTAAGCGGGATAATGGTTGAACAGAATATCAAATTTAATTAAATAAAAACACAAAACAAATGAAAATACGAATAATTACAATGTTTAAATACATCTATATCAATAAAATAATATAAATCTTCGATAATAAGGAGTGAGAACTGAGCAAATTATATTTAGCTTAGAAAAACCACCATCACACCACAGCTCTTTGCTAACATTTATATTTATATTTCTTCTTTTTATACTCAGTAAATGAAAATAATTTTACCGTAACTGAAATTGCATCGATCGTACTTGCATTCCTTGTCGGATGCATTACTGCTGGTTGCATTATTTACATATCAACGGTAAGCCTCCATCTTGATGCATCATTAAATTTGTAGTCCTCTTTTGACTTTCCGACAAAGGAAACACATATCAAACAAACAATATATACATATAGGCCTATCCTGTACTTTATTTATTGATAAGTATAGATATTAAATCACATGGTATTAAGACACACCTGTACTAGTGAAAATTTAAAATAGATATTTTAACTAAAACGAAATGGTCGCAATTTAAAACAGAACCGCACTATGGAGAAAGATAATTAAGCTCAGGAGACCTTCAAATGGACGTTCGAATTGAGTAACTGATGAACAGCGAGGCCATAGTTGTGGTGGAATTTGTATTTTCATAATTCATATTCTACGAATTATCGTGATAAACTTAGAAAACAATCCTAATTTAGTTAGTTATATAGCAACCACTAAATTAGTCATTTATTCATAAAATAAAATGTTATTTACTTGGTCTATTATCCTATCTTGTTTCATTTATACTAACTGTTATTATCTTACAGCAGACAGGCATATGCTGGAATAACAAGGATAAATCGGTAAGTCTCGGGTTTGATTCTGACATATAGAAGTAAACAAGGCATTAACTTTATAAATTAATTATTGAATTTTATTCGTTGCTCGTAATAATTATTGAGGGCTCACTCCAATGCTAAACTTACGCAGTAAGTTATAAAAGGTAATCTATATACAGTTCTGTTAATTATCAAAATTATAATTTTCATATTACCAAAAATCCTGACACAGCTTTAGGTTCCATTTTTAACACGTTGGCTGCCAGCGACGAGTATACTCGCTCACAAGGTGTTGCTGAGGGCGCCAGGAACGAGTATACTCGTCAAATCGGGGGAAACATTCTAGCGTTTATAACTTCTTTATTATACATTGTAGAACCACAGACTCAACGGCTGGTAGTTCGGGGAAGATACACCTAGACGATAACGTACAAATGACATATGTATGTCTGTTGTGTTATGTTGCCGGTAGTACACTCGAGCGATACAAGTGGGGGCGCCCTTTGAACATATACCAACTCATGCAAAAAGCGGACGAGATAACTCGCACTTGGCATATTCAGTAAAAAGTTCTATCACAGTGCCATCGACGAGCATACTCGCCCTCTAATATTTTCCCGCCAATTTATTAGACACTTCAATTTGATGACATATGACTAGATAAAATTTCAAAAAAGTATGTTTGTACATGTAAACTTGTTTTGGCACACGGGAATTAAGGAACCTTAAAAAAAGGTCTGGCAGTCAACGTGTTAACCACATTTTTAGACTGGTTAATCTTTCTAGCTAAAAGGTAGCTGGTATCCAGGGTCTACTCAGAAATACATAAAATGGTAATAATCATTCCCAACCCGAGGCTTAAAGAGTGAAGGTGTTTGAGTCGTGAGAAAAAAAATATCTTAGTTTCATATCATTTGAACCCAAGACATAATATAGGATTAGAGAGGACCTTTGCTGGGCCAGTAATAGTTCCTAGTTCTCCTACACACTTTTTTAAAGGACCACTCCACAAACAAGCCCCTCGGAATCAAATGGTTATGGTTTGCTGTGGCTTTGCAGGGGCGGATTTAGGGGGGAGAGGGCCGGCCCCGGCCCACCCACTTTTGGAATGTAAAAAAAAGAAAGAAAAAAACTGATCGCCCTAAAAACGCCCCAGACTTATTTTCGGGCTTCTAGAGCACAACAAAAATTCGCGGGGGCATGCCCCGGACAACCTAGGCTAGTACTATCTCGATCGGTCCCACTTTCCCCCCCTCCCCCCTCCTTTTGAAAATCTCTGGATCCGCCCTGCTTTCTCTATTATCAGGATCAGAATCATATTTCATGTGTCTTTTTGAAAAAGAAATGGAGCACAATTACTCTAAACATTCACAAAAGTTAAAAACAATTTACCTAAACTACTGAATAATATTTAACTATCATGCAGCCAACTATGAGTTGTTAATTACTAATAATAATAAAAAAAGTATGGAGTATGGTAAAAAAGTCTTCAGATTCTACACATGAGGTTCTAAAGCGCAGCCCAGATCTTACTAATTGTGTAGGTGGTTGGCGTAATTTATGATAGCGGTCGCCTTTTTCATTATTCGGTTTTTATAAAAAATCATCAGTGGAAATAATTCCATAGAACAATTTACAAGCCTTATTAATAATGACTTTTAACTTTCGTAAGTTCCCTTTCTTCCACTGAACCAAACCAAACAACCATACATTATTGCAGTTTGCACTACGAACGTCTTATCTACTTGGGAACCACTGAAATTTTTAATGAAATACAATCTTCAAAGTGCAAATCTTTATTGATTTTTCTTCACTACAGACGTGAATATTATTGGTTTGTTCATTCCTTAAAACTTGTGAGCAAATATCGTTGTATTATTATTGTATATCATAATAATTATGTCTGTCTACTACCTCCCTAAAACACTCACAGAATAACAATTTGGATTCGACAAATTACCAAACATCAATAACTCATATCCAGAACCCAGTCTTCGAACAACCACCAGGCCTACATACACCGTGTGAAACGGTCTTAAACGAGTATACTAGTACGACATCCATGTACCATGACATTGGCGGACAGAAGTATGACACGACCATCCAACGCTCTGCGGCTGCAGGTGGCTCAACGTCAAGATGCCGAGATGTTGATGACGATAAGACCTATCACGTGATTAAAGATCAGAATCTTGTCTACCATTCGGTATATTAAATACGCTGACAACCAAAAATTATTGAAAATTATAACACTTTTCAATATTGAAAAAAAAAAAGTTATTTTGTCATGATATCACTATTAGAAACATTATAAACCTACTCGATGACTTTCATTATACAATGTATTATAATTATTGTTTCAATTTTAGTCTGCAATTATTCGAAATTTATATATTTTACATTCATTAATTTGTTTAGAAAAAGCAGACGATAACCACTGATTTCACAATAATTTTATAATAAGAACAGTTTTAGTTAAGAATATAACAAAGTTATTTCGTTATACAATCCTCAATTTAATGATAATTAAGATATTTTTAGAGTTAAGCTTTCCGGCTTTCTGTGTCACGTGCTACTATAATTACACTATTACACTATTTTATTATGATGGTTTCATAGGTTCCTCGTTACTAATGAAGCTACAGATTGCCTTGTAAGGTGCTTCTACGTGATATATTGAATCTAAAAAAAAAAAAGCTAAAGTAGTTGTTCTCACGCCGCTATAATGATTTGTAAAAGTGAAGATATGATCAAAACACAACAAGGAACATGAAACTTAAAATCTCAACAATGCGCTGACCTCTGCATTTGTTGTTTCGAAAATCACTGAAAGTGTTAATAAAATGAATGCTAATCAAATTGTATGTATTAATCATTAAACATTTACAAGGTGTTCATGCTTACTTATCAAGAGTTTGTCCAGGATTCGAGTTTGTATATGTTTCAATTCTTGTCACAATGCTGGTGCAGATGTAAATCAACATTAATTTTACAGAAATGGCTGACAATTGATATGAACCTAAAAAATGAAATCTCTCAGAGTTTGTGTCATAGGCCTATATCAGATTTGTATGAATAGTTTATTATTACCGTAGTTTATTGTATAAAATCGTTCTTAGGTCGATTTTAAATTATGAAAAATCTGTCATCGTTTCTTGTGTTACTGTGTGCTAAAAACTACCAAGAGAATCATTTCACTTATTCTTCTTTTGTTAGTTTCATTTATCCGAAAGTACGGTATCACTGTTGTGAGGACACTCCTATCAGGGAGACACTTCCTCCCCGAATATGTTCCCTTAAAATAGGATTTTACTATTATTTGATATTATAATTCTGTCAAAACCTTCTCGCTATCGCATTTTCTAGTGTGACTGAAGGAAAATTCTCGTCTTGTCAGATGCCCCTGAAGCGTAGGTGCATTGTGGGATGGTAAAGTTAAGATGCAGTTATCAATAGTAGGGTCTACTTCACTAGAATACAAACATTACACCTAAAATCTAAACTTCAAAACTATACTTTAAACAGACGGAGAAATAAAAACTCCAAACAACAAATAATCAAAGAAAACTGCTATTGCAATTGTTTATTTTGTATCACATTGAGTTGAGCATATGAGATAACGACCACTGGCCTTCCCTTACATACAAACAATTCAACGCTTGCCTTATAAATCAATATTTGAATCATTTGTGCATACAAATTACTTGTCTACTCTGAGGATTCCTTAAAAAACAACGCCAACC